TGTCGTATGAGGCGACAAAAAATGCCGGGACCAATGGCCCTAGTAACCCCTTCTCCGTATTCAATTACTAAAAAAAGAATAGAAAAACTTATAAAAAACTGGGTTGCTTAAATGTGCGTGATGTAGTGCGGATGACAAGAAAACAGATGATTGCTGATGTATCTGGAAATGAAAAGAAGTTGGATGTCCTGGCCCTAAGCGAAACAAGGCTGAAGGGGTAGAGAGTTTCAAGTGGGGGGAAATAAATGGGATTTTAAAAACAGAGTATCTGAGAGAGTTTAGAGCACAGAAGGGTAGCCAGTAATGTTAAATGAACAGTTATGGAAGGAGAAAAGAGAATATGAATGGTTAAATCAAGAATATGTGGATTAAAGTAAAGGTTGGATGCGAGAAGTGGTCCATAATAAGCGTGATGCACCTGGAGAAGAGAGAATGCAGAGGAAGAGAGAGATTTTGGAGATGTTAAGGAATGTATAGGAGCCTTTGAACCAAGTGAGAGAGTAATTGTGGGTATGAAGGGGACTTGAATGCTAAAGTAGAGAAACTTTTAAGAGAGGAATGTGGTAGTAAGTGGGGGTGGCCAGGTGTAATGATAATGGGACCCTTTGATTGAACTTGTATAAGAAAGGGGTTTAGTTATAGGAAACTACATATTTAAAGAAAAAGGGATAAATAAGTATACACCGATATGATGTAGGTGCGAAATGACAGTATTTTTGATTATGTAATTGGTAGATAAAAGAACTGTTGAGTGACTCAGGATGTACATTGTTAATAGACGGGGCCCACAGATATATCAGATCACTTGCTAGTTGTAGCTACACTGAGAGTAAAAGGTAGATGGGATAAAGGAGAATAGAAGCAACAGGGAAGAGAGAGTGAAGGTTTATAAACTAAAAGAGGAGGCAGTTAGGGTAAGATATTAAACAGCTATTGAGATAGGATGGGCATTAGATGAGAGCATAGCATGGGGTCGAAGAGGTAAGGTAGGTTTAAAATGTAAGTGTATTGAGAGTGTTCAGCAGAAGTTTGGTTACAGAAAGTGGGAGCAGGAGGAAGAGGAGCGATGGTGGAATGATGATGTAAAGAAGAGTAGTAAGGGAGAAAAAGTTTAGCTATGAGAAGTTTTTACAAAGTAGAAGTGATGCAAGGAGGGAAGAGTATATGGAGAAAAAGAGAGAAGTTAAGAGAGTGGTGAAGCAATGAAAAAAAGAGAGCAAATGAGAGAGTGGGTTAGATGTTATCAACAAATTTTGTTGAAATAAGAAAAGTTTTGGAGTGAGATTAAAAGTTAAGAAAGCCTAGAGAACAAATGGATTTGTCAGTTAAAAATAGGAGAGGAGAGTTATTAAATGGAGGTTAGAGGTATTGGGAAGATGGAAGGAATATTTTGAGGAATTGTTAAATGTTGATGAAGTAGGAAGCTGTGATTTCGTGTATGGGGCAAGGAGGAATAACATCTTGTAGGAGGGGGGAAGAGCCAGTTGTTGGTGTGGGGGAAGTTCGTGAGGCAGTAGGTAAAATGAAAGGGGGTAAGGCAGCCGGATTGATGGGATAAAGATAGAAATGTTAAAGCAGGTGGGGATATAGTTTTGGAGTGGTTGGTGCAATTATTTAATAAATGTATGGAAGAGGGTAAGGTACCTAGGGATTGGCAGAGAGCATGCATAGTTCCTTTGTATAAAGGCAAAGGGGATAAAAGAGGTGCATAAATTATAGGGGGATAAGTCTGTTGATGTACCTGGTAAAGTGTATGGTAGAGTTTAATGAAAGAATTAAGAGTAAGACGGAAAATTTAGGATAGCAGATGAACAAGGGGGCTTTAGGAAAGGTAGGGGGTGTGTGGACCAGGTGTTTACAGTGAAACATATAAGTGAACAGTATTTAGATAAGGCTAAAGAGGTCTTTGTGGCATTTATGGATTTGGAAAAAAGGCTATGACAGGGGGATAGGGGGGTAATGTGGCAGATGTTGCAAGTGTATGGTGTAGGAGGTAGGTTACTGAAAGCAGTGAAGAGTTTTTACGAGGATAGTGAGGCTCAAGTTAGAGTATGTAGGAAAGAAGGAAATTTTTTCCCATAAAAGTAGGCCTTAGACAAGGATGTGTGATGTCACCGTGGTTGTTTAATTATTTATAGATGGGGTTGTAAGAGAAGTAAATGCAGGGTCTTGGCAAGAGGCGTGGAGTTAAAAGATAAAGAATCACACACAAAGTGGGAGTTGTCACAGCTGCTCTTTGCTGATGACACTGTGCTCTTGGGAGATTCTGAAGAGAAGTTGCAGAGATTGGTGGATGAATTTGGTAGGGTGTGCAAAAGAAGAAAATTAAAGGTGAATACAGAAAGAGTAAGGTTATGAGGATAACAAAAAGATTAGGTGATGAAAGATTGAATATCAGATTGGAGGGAGAGAGTATGGAGGAGGTGAACGTATTCAGATATTTGGGAGTGGACGTGTCAGCGGATGGGTCTATGAAAGATGAGGTGAATCATAGAATTGATGAGGGAAAAAGAGTGAGTGGTGCACTTAGGAGTCTGTGGAGACAAAGAACTTTGTCCTTGGAGGCAAAGAGGGGAATGTATGAGAGATAGTTTTACACAACGCTCTTATATTCGTGTGAAGCGTGGGTGATGAATGTTGCAGCGAGGAGAAGGCTGGAGGCAGTGGAGATGTCATGTCTGAGGGCAATGTGTGGTGTGAATATAATCAGAGAATTCGTAGTTTGGAAGTTAGGAGGAGGTGCGGGATTACCAAACTGTTGTCCAGAGGGCTGAGGAAGGGTTGTTGAGGTGGTTCGGACATGTAGAGAGAATGGAGCGAAACAGAATGACTTCAAGAGTGTATCAGTCTGTAGTGGAAGGAAGGCGGGGTAGGGGTCGGCCTAGGAAGGGTTGGAGGGAGGGGGTAAAGGAGGTTTTGTGTGTGAGGGGCTTGGACTTCCAGCAGGCATGCGTGAGCGTGTTTGATAGGAGTGAATGGAGACAAATGGATTTTAATACTTGACGTGCTGTTGGAGTGTGAGCAAAGTAACATTTATGAAGGGATTCAGGGAAACCGGCAGGCCGGACTTGAGTCCTGGAGATGGGAAGTACAGTGCCTGCACTCTGAAGGAGGGGTGTTAATGTTGCAGTTTAAAAACTGTAGTGTAAAGCACCATTCTGGCAAGACAGTGATGGAGTGAATGATGGTGAAAGTTTTTCTTTTTCGGGCCACCCTGCCTGGTGGGAATCGGCCGTGTGATAATAATAATAAAAAAAAAAATCAATGTAGAGACAACCTGTACACAATGTAACTTGTAAACAAACCAGACGTGTACACTTTGTTTACAAAACTTACCTTCGCCTGGTTTGTTTACATAACTCTGCGCCTGTCCCCTCTCATGCACTCATTCTTTCTCTCATTTATTCGTTTTATCTCATTTACTTACTCCTGACCCTACATTAAGACTACAAATATTTTAAGGTAAGTAATGAGTGAACTGTATATACATTTTATCGCTCTGGGATGCCTAAATATCATAGAATAATATGTGTGGGTGGGGTGGCCTGGTAAGGTAGCCTGGCTGACTACCATACATACCACACTTGATTTCTTACAATAAATACTACTTGTCTCACCCTAGATTAAGACTATAAATATTTTAAGGTAAGTAATGAGTGCACTATGTGTGTATTGTACTTTTTTATTGTTTTTTGATGCCTGGTTCTATTGCTAACTTAATATATGTTAGTGTAAACTTGTTATCTAGTGTTTGTATGCATTTATAAGTGGAAAAAAAAGTGTGTTCCACTTTACGGCGGTTTCAGCTTTACGGCGGTAGCCTGGAACCTAACCTGCCGTATAAGTGGGGCCCTACTGTATTTAAGAGTACTCTAAGATAGTAAATGTGGTATTAAAACAGGTTATGGTAATTAGACAAGTAATGGTAATTAAATGATGTCAAAAATGTTAATTAAGAGTAAATTGTACTGATAGTAAAAATGGTAATTAATTATTAATTTTAGTAAGTAATATCAATTAATAGTATTTAAAAAAATATGAGGTAGTAATATGGGCAGAGAAAGTATCAATTCAGCTAATATTTAAGCAAACAATAGTAAATAAGAAAATTACATAAAGTGACTTATGCTTACTAGTAAAATCACAAAATGAGGTAGTTGATTATTTACTAAGAGATTGTACTATGAAATTTGAACAATAATGGAGCAAAACATACACTACACTACGTATGGAAATTAGGTCAGTTTTGTCCCAGGATGCGACCCACATCAGTCCATTAACACCCAAGTGCCTATTTTACTGCTAGGTGAACAGGGACAACCATGGACTGAGTGTGAGAGTGCGCTAGCAATCCAGTTATGGGCTATAGCCAATATTAATTAATTGCTTAATCAATTTATTATTAATAATGATGATGATAACAATAATAATAATAATAATGATAATAATAATAATAATAATAATGAATAGTAATAATAGTGATAATAATAATACTGATAATAATAATAATAATAATAATAATAATAATAATAATAATAATAACAATAACAAATAGTAATAATAGTGACTAATAATAATAATAATAATAATAATAATAATAATAATAATAATAATAATAATAATAATAATAATAATAATAATAATAATAATAATAATAATATTAATAATATTAATAATAATAATTAAATGAATAAGTCCCACAATGGAATAAGACCCCAATGGAAATAAGTCACTTTGACTTTCTTGGGTTGTCCTAGATAATCTACAAATATGCTGCTATGTATGATAATTTATGTAACTATTTATGTGTACCTATATCTGAATAAACTTACACAGCCAAGTTAAAGTCAAAGTCAAAGTTGTACAGTTCCTTATTTTATCACAACTAACTCGGTTAATAAATTTCCCACAGTCATTATCAGAAGAAATCATACTTTGATAATAAAGTAAAATAACATAGAGTTGTTGTATCAGTGGTATTTATAGTATATTTTAAATATTGAGTGGTTAAATGTGTTAGGCTCGCGGCCCCCCGTCAAGCACCACCAAAACAAACTCAAAATCTGGCCTAGGTGAAACCTTATTTGTTGCAGCTACACTACAGCTCTTGGACTGCCCAGGAGGTGATATCAATCTCCCCAGTTGTCCAAAAAGTTGAGATACGCCCTTCCACAGCTAATTACGATAAAATAATGTGTCTTTTCGAACAAATTAAGTTACTCCATGAGAATGGACTTCATTCGAATCTCATCGCCCTGGTAAGAACAAACAAATAATAATGGTAAAAATATATACAGTTTTAGTGAAGTATACAATATATAAGGCATGACTAAAGAAAATTACAGTTTATGATATTTCGTGTGTGGTTCAAAGTATGTATAAATTTTCTGGCAAATCTGTTGCTCAAAAGAAGTATAATTGTGCAGTTAAGATTATAAGGTGAAAACATAAACAGATGATGGGAGAATTATATAGAAATGTTTATTAGGACAGCATCATTTAAATATAATACTATTACTATCCTAGGTTAAGTCAACATCATGTAGCCCAGTGGAAATAAGTCACTGACTTTTTTAGGGGGTTATCCTAGGTATTATACACATATGTTACTATGTATGATAATTTGTGTAATTGTGTTTGTGTACCTGTACCTAAAGAAACTTAGGTGTAATATATGCCCTCTAGATCATTGTTGTGTACTGTAAGTTTATTGAGGCACAGGTACACATAAGTACAATTATCATACATAATGTAAATTACCTAGGTCAACTCGAAAGTCAAAGAAACTGCCTTACCTTCACTGGGGTCCTTAAATTGTTATGTACATAAAGCTTAAATAAAAACTTAGTTTTATTTGGGTCATTAACCCAGGAGGGTTAGTAACCTAAGATGAAGAAGAAAACTGTTGGTTTCATATGTGCCCAGTGCTTACTTGGTAGTGGCTTCAGTTCACACACTGAAGAACTGGGGTTCGATCCTTAGATGAACTTAAAAGTTAGGGGTGTTTCCTTACACTTGCTGCCACTCTGTTCACCTAGCGCTAAGTAGGCACACTTGGGTGTTAGGTAACCTTTGTGCATCACATCCTGGGTAAGAGGATTATGTGACCCCAGTGAAAATAAGATAGTCTGATACAGCCTGGCTCAATTGGGTTATCCTTGGCTGCTGATACTCCAGGTTAATAACATGACCAAAATCTCTTTTTTTCTTCTTGATATATAACATGCATTACTTGTATTATTCTGTATGCATACTTGACCCATATGGAATTGTCCTGTGAAGTTTTCCCTATGTAATATTTGCCACATCCATTACAAGAAATAATGAGGACTCTCTGTTTTTTCTGCATCATGAGCCTGTTTGTCTCTAAGTAAAATCTTTATGGTAATGGAAGTGATGACTGCAATGTTGTGCCCAGACTGTGATGGTGAGGCTTATGGGATCATTACAGTATTCATGCAGAACTCTAAATACAAACAGTGTGTGTATTGTACATTGAGACACTGACAGTCACTTAACGAAATGGGCAGATGCTATACCAGTTATCAAAGAACAAGACAGAGATAGATATTCTTTATAATCTACCTTTATGAACACTTCTAACTATTACACAGAACCAGGGCAGCTTCATGTTAGCTTAACCTTTAGGTTACACTATACTCACAGGTTATCCAAGCATCCAGAATCCAACATAATAGCCCATTGTATACCCTGCAGTGTTGCCAATGTGTTAAAAACTATTAAAAGTAAATATGTCACTCCTGTGAGGAGGAGACTGGAAGCATTTGAGATGTGTCTGAGGACAATGTGTGGTGTGAATATTATGCAGAGAATTTTAAACATGGAGATTAGAATATGTGGAGTTGCCAGTAGTATAATTCAGAGGGCTAAGGAGGGGTTATTGAGGTGGTTTGGACATTTAGAGAGGATGGAGCAAAACAGGATGATGAAATAAATATAAATTTACAGTAGAGGGAAGGAGGGTTAGGGAGTCATCTCTGGAACAGTTTTAGGGAGAAGGTAAAGGAGGTTTACAGTGCTAAGAGCTTGAATATCCAGCTTATGTGCTTATGTTAGTGGAGCAAGTGGAGGCAAGTGTTTCGTATGATTTGACACATTGTTAGTGTGTGAACAAAGTAACATTATTGAAAGAATTCAGGGAAACTCCATTAGCCAGACTTACATTCTGGAGTTAAGAAGGCCATCATCTGCACTCTGAAAGAGGGGTGAAGATGAGACAGTTTGGAGAGCCAGCTGAACTGCAGTGTCAGCATGTTTCTGGCAAGACAGCAATTGAATGAATGATAATGAATATGAATGTGTTTACTTTTTGGATGGAGGGGGGAAGGGGAAAGGGAAAGGGATGGTCACCTTACCTAGGTGGGAAATGGCTGGTGTGCTAAAAAAAAAACAAAAAAAAAAAAACAGAAAAGTCAGTCCTAGTCACTGTAATAAACTGTATTATCTATGTAAAATATATTGGCTAGTTGTTTAACACTGTAGTTATTTATTAATCAAAGTATAGTATACTGGCATCCCTTACTTCATGTGGATTCACTAAATGTGATTTCACTTACATGTAGTGACCCTATTTCTACTAGAGAAATTGTTGCATGTTTAACCCTTAAACTGTCCACACATAGGTCTACGTTCATGCGCGTGGGGCTCCGAATGTAGATCAACGTTTTATTTTTCATTCCTTCAAATTTGGTGCGAAAGGCCTGAGTCACCTAGACATGAATGAATGGGTCTGTGCACTCAGTGTGCGCAGTATGAAAAAAATCGGGGACAACTTAGTACCTTGTGGGAACACCAGTTCAATTGAGTGCCAGCTAGAGCAAATAGTGTGGCAAACACCAGTGAATTACAGTGGACCCCTGGTATTCGATGGCATCGGTATTCGATAAATCCGGTATTCGATGCATTATATCGCAAAAAATTTTCCTCGGTATTCGATTGAAAACCCGGTATTCGATACGATTCGTATGAGACCTGTCCACATGTGGCCTGAACTGCCCCCTGTGTGCCAGTGTTTACAAGCCAGCCAGTGTGCGCGCATCTAAGGATACATGCAGTACATTCCATATTATCCATATTATCACTGTGTTTGGTGCTTGTTTCTGCAAAATAAGTCACCATGGGCCCCAAGAAAGCTTCTAGTGCCAACCCTGTGGTAAAAAGGGTGAGAATTAGTATGGAAATTAAGAAAGATTTTGAAGGGTTTGGGGCTAACCCTGAGAAGCCTATACCAGTTGTGGAATACATTGTGCCTACTTCAAAAATTAAGAAAATGTGTGCACAGTGGGTTGAAGTGCAAACCTTTATGGATGAAAATCACCCTAACACAGCTATTATAATGACAATGTTGTGGCCCATTTTAGACAAATCGTAATGGAACGGGAGGTACAGAGCTCTATGGACAGATTTGTTGTGCGACAGAGGTCCAGTGACTCTCAAGCTGGTCCTAGTGGCATTAAAAGAAGAAGGGAAGTAACCCTGGAAAAGAACTTGCTACCTCAAGTCCTAATGGAAGGGGATTCCCCTTCTAAACACTAACACCTCTCCCCTCCTTCCATCCCATCAATCATCACCAGATCTTCATTAAAGGTAAGTGTCAATTATTTTATTGTTATTGTAATTATTCTATTGTATTAAACTTAATATTTCATGTAGTAAATTTTTTTTTTTCATACTTTTGGGTGTCTTGCACGGATTAATTTGATTATCATTATTTCTTATGAGGAAAATTGATTCGGTTTTCGATATTATCGGTATTCAATGAGCTCTCAGGAACGGATTAATATCGAATACCGGGGGTCCACTGTACTGATGTCATGTCATATTAACACTCACATTTTAAGAGGAAAGTAAAAATATGTTAGATAAATACATGAGTGAGTGTGGGTGGGTGCGAGTTAGACCTGACTAGCTTGTGCTACTAGGTCAGATGCCGTGCTCCTTCCTTCAGTGGATGTGACCTGACTTGGGTCATTGGTCTAAGCTGGGGGGTGACATGGACCTGCCTTGCTTGGGCCAGTAGGCCTGCTGCACTGTTCCTTCTTTCTTATGTTCTTATGTATTTGGCTGGCTGGCTGGCTTTGGCTGTCTCTGTCTGTATCTGTCTGTGTCTCTGTCTATCTCTCTCTCTCACATGTACTCATAAGTACAGTTATTATACATAATGTAAATTACCTAGGATAACCCAAAAATTCCAGGCCAAGTGCTATACAGTGTTTGTAGATATAAGACATAAATAAATGACCACACACACAAGACAGAAAGACAGATAAGCTGAACTAGACAGACAGATAAGCAGAGCTAGACAGACAGACAGATAGATAGGTGTACAGATACAAATAGATGTACAGATACAGATAGTTGTACAGATAGACAGGCAGACAGATATAGACTGACAGACATACAGAGACATGTTTGTGTGCAAGAATAAAAGCATATAAAGGCAAGGTTCCCTCCAGCAGTGCACATTCATCAAATATCACTTATCTGATGCTTGTCATAACACCATTCTTCAAGGAGTTTCATATTATACTCCAGGCACACACAGGAGGCAGAAAGACATAAGCTGATCTAGACAGACAGATAAGCAGAGCAAGGCGGACAGACAGATAGACACAGATGTACAGATAGACAAATAGATGTACAGATAGACAGACATATAGATGTACAGATAGACAGACATATAGATGTACAGATAGACAGACACAGACAGACAGACAGGGAGACTGACAGACATATATACAAAGACATGTTTGTGTGCATGAGTAAAAACATATAAAGGCAAGGTTCCCTCCAGCAGTGCACATTCATCAAATGTCACTGGTTGTCACTTATCTGTCCCTTGTCATAACACCATTCTTCAAGGAGTTTCATACTCCAGTGTGTCTAAAACATTGCTGGGACCTATAAATACTTTGTATATATTTCTAGACAATAGTTAGTGACCAAGGCAGGTGAAAATGTTCACCTGTCAGTGTGATTGTTACTATTTGAGTACTATTTCAGTACATAATATTAGTGTCAGAACAAAGATTGGCTATGAAATCACAAGAACTATTGTAATTATCAGAACATAAAAATTACATAAATTAAAACAAAAACAAGGAAAAAAGGTAAATAGGCAACAATTCTGCAAGCGGCAGGACTGGATGCTGCCGTCAGGCAAGCATCCAGAGCCAACTTCGTGGTCTTATATCTCGGTAAGTACTGCTCGTAAAATTTTTTTTTGGTCTTATACCAC